GGCACGCGCTCCTCCTCGGAGTTGCCCGCCCGGGGAAGGCAGAGGCGGCCTAGTCGCCCCAGCGCGTGACCTGGGCGCTCGCCTGGGTTTCATTTCCCGGCCCCGAGCGGCGGGGCGGAGCCGCGAGAGGCGTTCCCGGTCGCCGTCCCTCCCATCCTGCGATTAAGCGGGTTCGCCCGCCCTGCACGGACCTTCCTTCCCTGCCTAGTCCTGGCCGCTTTTCTGGATCTTCCCGGAGTCACGCCACCCGGCCACTGCCCTTCTCCCCGTTGCCTCCGCGCACTTACTCACCTTTGTCTCTGGCTTCCACTGGAAGCTCGAGCCTTTCTCCGCTGTCCCTGTCGGCCCTCCGATTCCTCCTTGCCCTCGCTTTAAAGTCCCGAAGGCTGAGGCGAGGAGTAAGGTGCGAGGAGCCCTTTAACGTCCTGATCCCTGCGGCTCTGCCAGTGGTGGCTGAGCTCTGATCCTTTTGAGGGATGTTTTGACTTTCCCTCTGAATATAAGTCGCGGCAAAAGGGTGGTCCGAATTCATTGCGTAGTGAGGGGCAAGACCTAATTGGACGAGGGAGGTCTGAATTAATCCCCTAGTGAGGGGCAAGACCTTATTGGCTTATTGGATAAGATACTGCCTGGCAGAAGCTTTGACAGAATGTGAAACGGACTTTAATCGTCCATAATAATAAGACTTGGGAAACCGTTTGGCAACATCTCCTTAAGCATGTGAAACGACACCACATGACTTTGCCCAAATACTCCCCCTCTTCTCTCATTCATGATTGCATTTTTGCATAAAACTCCGATTCCCTTTGTCTGCATATTCACATTTTGAGTGTCTCATTTATAAAAAGTAAATTATACCAGATGCAAGTAGTTGGTAAAAGCAGTCTAATGAAGACTGGTACAGGAACTTGCTAGTGTCCTTCAAGTAACTGGAAGCCTCAGTTTACCCTGGACTTGACTTGAAGGGAAGTTTATGTGACTTGAAAGAAATTAATCTCTTTAAGGCTGAGACCTCTTCAAATGAAAATGGCTTCAAGAGGCTGTTGTTGTTGTTGTTATGTGCCGTCGAGTCGCCTGCGACTCATA